AACTTTAATGTGCTTTAAAATATATTTATGTATTTCTTAGTCTAGTTCTGTATTGTTTGTATGGTCTAATCCCTGACAGCGTTTTCACTGATGTCAATAGATCACATCAATATCACATAATTCTGAATGTTTCTGTTTTTTTTTTTGCTACAGAGTTGTTTATCAATGAATACAATGAGGTTTGTTTTCACATATAGTTTTGTGTTGTTATTTGAGATCAGTTACAGCCACAGAATAAAACCTGGAGTTTTTTTTTTTATCTTTATATGAGAAAGAAACATGCGTATGGAAAGTCTACTCTGAACTGCTGTGTGTTCCTTTGTTGTAGGTTAGCATGCTAATCGCTCCGGGGAGAAGAATGGTTTGTGTGTATATATGTGTGTGTGTATATATGAACAATACAGAGCCTTCAGATTATACTGTTTGCCTCTTTCTTTCTCTCTCTCTCTCTTTCTCTCTCTCTCTCTCTCTCCTTGTCCTCGCAGTACCTGCTATGTGATTTGAATACATAAATCATTTCTCATTAATATTCTATGAGCTGCATGCATGTGGCTGTTTCTCCATTGGCTCTTGTGTGTATTCTGGCAGCTCCCGGGCCCTCTGAGGGCCTTGCTGGTCCCTTGATCACATCCACTGTGACATTCGCGACTCATCTGAGCTCCGTCTTTCTCTGCATGACTGACATTATCTGCCTCTCGCTGACGGCCGCTCTCCACTTAAAGGCAAAGTGCAATATGCCTTGCTTTTTTTCTGAAATGATCCTTGCTGAGATATTCATATTTTTCCATATACTGAAAGAAGATGGGGCTGGCAAGCTCCCTAAAATGACAAAAAAAAAAGCATCCATGCAACTTTTGTATTATATTCCAGGGCCTTTGAAAGGGTAAAGTCTAGAGGGGATACAGCTGAGCATACAAAGGATGCATAGATCTGCATAGCATCATTTTTGTGATACTGTACAATAGGGCTTACAATTAAAATATCTAATTGCGTTTTTTCTTTTTTCTTTTTTTTATTAATTAATTGTTTTGACGGATATTGCAATTTCAACATAGACTTTAAAAGATATGGACGTAGTATCTATGACATCAACCATAGGTTTCTGAAGAGCGCAATAAAGCTGCAATGGGGCGTGGCCAGCCGTCGCCATTTTGTTCGCGCTAATTGCTTCAACCGGGGGTAACCAAATAAGGGCAAAGAGGCGGAGCATGAGGAGAGCTAAAGATGCCTGCTAGGATTTTGCTTATACAGGTTTTCTTTGGGAGAAACGCTTCATTATATATTTCATTACCTGAGACTCTATTGTGTTCTGACGGCAAGAGCTTGGTTGTATACTATATCAATAAAGTGTTTAGATTTTTGAAAACTGTGTTGTAATACATTGAGCCACTAAGCATTGAACTTATGACTTTTTCTACAGGAGGTAAACGCGAATTACTTCCAAACGCTTCAAATATATTCTGTGTTAGTGAATGCATTGCTGTTTATGAAATTCAGTCATATAACACTGTATGACAAGGTTTCATATAACTGTTATAGAGCCTAGAGCTAATCAATCTGTCAGATTCTGGAGTGCTTTACAGGTCTAAAAAAAATTATAAATGATCTTAATTAAAATTAATACATTTATAGAGATGGTATGTAGGTATATAATTTCACTTACATGGGAAATGGAGGCAACTTAAATGGTTTGTGAGCACAATTAAGTGCACACAGCATGCCATATAAAAATTCACCCCCTCACAGTTATCATGTAGGGTAATATTAACTATATAAACCAAAATTGTTCTTTGTACCAGGCTGTAAACACCTCTTTTTCTGCTGTAAAGTAGGCCATTTTCACACTGGGTTCAATAGAAATCTGCTCTTATCATGGAGCCAGGACTTCTGGAATTTCTGTGAATTTGCAGTTTCAGTTACTTCTGTATTTGCTTCTCGAGGGAGAGCTAGATGTTTCCACTTGGATTTCAATTTGATTTGCAGTTTAATTTTTTTAGCTAAGCTTCAGCTTAATAATCTGTATTTTAGCGTCTTACTGCTGAAATTCAGTGAGTGTTTTTAAATATTAAGAAATTAAATAGAGATAGTAACTAGAGATGTGCGGATCAGCTGAAATGACACCCAAATCCGCAGCTTTCCGCAGTAGAAATCATTCACCCACCACAGCAGATTCAGTAAGCTATATCTGCAGCACCCGCGATATCCGCGCTTTACTGATAGTAACAAAAAAAAACAAAAACATAAAAATACAGAACACTCAGCAAACAAACATGGCTGACAAGACCCTTTCTGTAGCTTATTTTATGTAGCATCTGTGATAATTATTGTTTTTAGACAATATATCATGACATTCAACGTACAGCAGTAGTACAGCAAAATGGCAAAAATATGTGTGAGACGAAAGTGTATATCTCCTTTGCAGCATTTGGATGAGGTTTTTAAATCCCTCTTTGGTCACTGGATTAAAAGACACCGTGTCTTTAGCGAGGTCTTGAATTATGGTGTTGGTTATCTTCTATTGCCCTCGTTATGTTTTGTCATATAGTGTAACAGCTGCAAACAGCTCTGAAATTGTACTTTTCTGTTGCTTGCCACTATATTGAGTGTCAATAGTAATACTTTAGTAGACTTTTTAGCAAGACACTCCTTATATAGCCGCCTGTGGTGCTTTTTTAGGGGCTGGTTGATGTATTTGCTCATGCTGGTGTAACCCCACCGGTCCTACACTGCCCAACCCGCTCCGAGCAGGGATCGAACCGGCGACCTTCCGCATGGGAGTCGGTTGCTCTAACAAGGAGGCTAAAGACCATGGCCTCTAGCGTCTGTCGCTAGAGCACCTTTAGAGGTCAGAGGAGTGAGGTTTACCTGCACAGTACACACTAGCTGGCCTCCGTTACACTGGCAACAATTCTGCGACAGCTCTTACAAATGACCTGTTTTTGTTCGATGTCTTTAAAACCAAAGTATTCCTATATTACCGACGTGCTGTTTTTCTTTGATTTTAATTTATCTTTTAATGCTTCTGAAGCAGCAGATGCCATCATTCCACTCATTCGTACTCTCCTTTTTGTTTGTTTTATTGTGGGCGTATCGCATTGTTCGGGTGCACAATTCTGATTGGACAGCACGAAAGTGTGGTCACTCAATTGACAGCATGACACTTTTGCTTTTTGACACAGACAGCATTCACACTTTTGCTTTGAGTGGGGTAAATTAATACATCTATATTTCATATCGCAGCCACTTTTAGGTAATCGCAACGTTTCAAATTACGATTGCTATTCAACTTCGATTAATCGCACAGCACTACTGTGGGTAGTTTTAGGGTTGGGTAGGGGTAGACGTTAATAAAACCCAATTTACTGGGTCATTTAATAAATAATCTTAAATAATTCTTGTCAACTTCAAGCTGGTGCTTTATACACTGTAAAAAAAAGTTTCCACATTTTGTGATTCACAAGTGTTTTCTGTTTGTTTACATTTGTGAATTTCATTATAGGAGATTTATCTGTCCACTTTTGATGCTTTAGTCGTCTGAAACGATATTCTCTTGTGTATGTTTTTAAGATGCAGCTTGTGTTGATATTTTCCCACACAGAATTATATTAAAACATTATATTCTGAAATCAAAGAACCCTTATTATGTTAATTTAAACCTTACCCATTTTGTTTTGGAGGTCTCCTACAATAGGTGTATATGCATTTTTAAATAAGATGACAAAATTCTCAAAAGTTCTCATTCCATTAATTTGAGATTTGTTCATTCTAAACCACTCCTTTCTGAGAGCCTGCTGTTCTCTGATTGATCAGATGCCCAGTTGTTCACTGGTATTGACAGTTTAATCATTTGACACAAGATATTGTTTAAGAAATGATTTATAATGGAGAATTAGATTTGTAAAATAACAACAACACCAATCCAGACAACATATGACTTCAAACTAATAAAAATGTCAATAAAATTCCCTTTTACAAACTTTTCAGCATCAAAAGCTTTTGCAGGAAAGATCAAGGTCCCATATTGCAACTCAAAAGCATAAATAAGTAGAGAAAAAAACATGAATCACAAAATACAGAAAACTGTCAATGTATGTTTTACATTGTACCTTCGAGAAACAACCTTTCGATAGCTTTGCCTATGAAGCAAATTTGCAATTTAAATATGCACATATTTAAATCTGGCCTGTCTGCATTATTTGATTTCAAAGCTTTGGTGGAAGAGAAGATTATCAGCAAAAAAAAAAAAAAACAACAACTCAGTTGTTCTCTTTTTTTGGTCTAATATTCATTGTGTCCTAAAATATACATTCTGGGAATGTTGTGAATGTGGATGTGGGTGTTTGGATTGTTTACTCATTTGCATTATCACTGCATGTCTTTTTCAGGAGGTTGTTCTTGTTTACTGCAGCGAGGGTGTGTGTTTATTGTGTTTTAGCAGCAGAATGACTTGCTTTGGCACATCTGAACAATTCCTCCTGGCTGAAATGACAGGGTTTCAATGGAACGTTTTGCAAACAGTTTTGTATGCGAGCTTCTACCAGATTGAAATCCCTGAACTCCACTTCATCAGCTCTGTGAGGTTTTCTGGACTGATCTGTCCCAGCTGAAAACTGCTGTAGACATGTGTTCAACTGAGTTTCAGAGTTTAGTTTGGCTGTAGTTGTTCTTTGGGAGATTTAATTTTCTTTGGAAATTGATGGAGGATTAATGCTGTGACGGAGTGATAAGGGACTCACGATATATAAACAACTACCTACTTAATCCTGTTCCTATACATGTGGATCACACATCCAAACATTTACTGGTAAACATTAAATGAGGGCTTAATTATTCCTGAGTGTATTAATGCGATAGTTAACCCAAAAATGTCCTTCACTTACCCTTATGTTGACAAACCCATGCAGCATGACATGTTTTCCACGTTCATTATAAGCATGATGACCTACAGCTCATTGAAGAGTTGTGTATAATGGCATATCTGCTGTTGTTTTTGTGTGCAGGTTGTGTAGTCTGACTTTGAAGAAGCTGTTTGTAATGAAGGCGCTTGACAAGGAGCTGATCTCTGTTGTTATTGCAGTCAAGATTCAGGTAAGTGGTCAGCTGTAAAGAGCAAGTTTTTAAGCTGCAGCACGTGATGATCTTTCCCACAAAGAACTATATGAAGACATTATATTCTGAAATTAAAGAGCCCTTATCATGTTCATATAAATCTCCCCCTTTTTGTTGTGGAGGTTTCCTGCAATAGGTTTATATGCAATTGTTTATGTAGCCTGCTGTTCTCTGATTGGTCAGATGGCCATTTTTTTATTCATTCGCTCATTCATTTTCCTTTCCTCTTCCGCTTAGTCCCTTACTTATTGGGGGTCGCCACAGCAGAATGAACTGCCTACTATTTCGGCATATGTTTTACACCGTGGATGCCCTTCCAGCCGCATCCCAGTACTGGAAAACACCCATACACCCAAATACATTCACACACGCAGCCACACACTATGGCCATTTTAGTTCACCCAATTCACCTACAGTGCATGTCTTTGGACTGTGGAAAAAAACCGGCACACCCACGGGGAGAACATGCAAACTCCACTCAGAAATGCCAACTGGCCTAGCCGGGACTCGAACTAGCAACCTTCTTGCTGTGAGGCGACACTGCTAACCACTTAGCCACAGTGTCGTCGTTTGTTTATTGGTATGTTTATTATTTAGTAACGACTGCCTCGATCTTACTATGTTTATTCAAACACATAAAGGAAAATGAATTAATGAATGTTTCATGGTGTGACGGCAGAAGTATGATTTAAATACACTTCATTGACCATGTGCACATAGACATCACCTGTATAATATATAACTGCAGGTTAAGTATGTTTATATATAGGGTGCGAATTACAGAGGGATTGAGGGGGGTCTGACCCCCCCTAAGGAAATCCCCCCTGAAGGAAATCAAAACCAGATGTATGGGGTTGTTCTTCCCTTTAAATAGTTCGCTCTGATCTGTATCTTAAATAATATTAATAATTAAAATATTAAAATTTAAATATACTTTTGACCATCCCATAATGGTTCATACCATTTTCAATGCCTAATCAGCCAATCAGTCAATGCGAGTCATTCAACAGTCTGAAACTGCAGATCAAGAGACCGGAAGTGTCTAAAAGACACTTTTCCTGTAAAATAGGTGTTTGTATCTACATATATCTTAAAAGTAAAGTAAAATGATGCATAGTTAGTATAGTCGAACCTACAGTAACCTCTAAAATAGAAGTTGAACACCCCCCAACCCCCCCCCCCCAAACCCCCACCAACAACCCCACAATCAGATTGTCAATGTATAATTGGACCGTGTTTATATATAATAACTTTAACTGTTAAAAGCTATTAGCTACTAATTAATTAGTAAATGTTATTAGTAACTAATAAAGTTATGGTAACTAATAACCTTAATCTTTCTGATTTTGATTGTGATGGAATAATGTGCGCCTTTTGTAAAATTGCTGTGAAACAATAATCATTGGAGAAAGTGCTATACACATCAACTTGAATTGAATTTGGTCTAAACAGAATCTATGTATGTTTGTCATAGGGCTCGAAGCGGATCCTGCGCTCTCATGAGATAGTGCTGCCCCCTGCTGGAGGGGTGGAGACGGACCTTGCACTCACATTCTCTCTGCAGGTAAACATGACCCCAAAACACACATTCACACTCAAAAACCACTCTTTAAAAACAGCAGCTCTGTTCCAGAAGCGACCTGCTGTCTGCTTGCTTACATGTGCATCTGTGTCTTCTGGCAGAGATCCTCATAAGTGACTAATTTGCGACGCTCTGCATCACTTTGCAATGCATTGTGGGACTGCTTTGGCCACAAAGGAAGCCTGCTGTGCCGCTTTGAAATGCAGCCAGAAGGAATGTACAAGAGAAGCTGTCTTTGCTTCAGAAGTGTGCCTGCGATGCCTTCAAATGCTTTCTGCGCGTGCCGCTTACTAGCTTTTGAAACGCAGCCAATTTAGCTTTCAAGACATCATCATTTCAACCTGCACTGATTCATTTTGAGCCTTTAGTATGAAATTGAGTTTGATGGGTTTCTTTTTTCTCTCTCTCTCTCTCTATCCTCTTATTGTGTGTGTAGTATCCTCATTTTCTAAAGCGTGAGGGAAATAAGTTGCAAATCCTGCTTCAGAGGAGGAAGAGGTACAAAAACAGGACCATTTTGGGTTACAAGACGTTGGCTGCTGGTTCTATAGACATGGCAGAGGTATTTCAGGCTTCACCCTCCGACTAAGAGTCAGTTAAATATTCAATGGTTCAATATTAAAGCTCACATGCTGACATGCTTTGTGTGTGTGTGTGTGTTTGTGTCTGTTTGTGTATGTTTACATGTTTGTGTGTGTTTTTGCTGTTTGCGTGTTTTTTTGTATTTTTCTGTGCTGTGCTTGCGTGTGTTTTTCTGTTTGTTTTTGTGTGTGTTTGTGTGTGTTTGTGTTATTGTGTGTTTTCTTGCATGTTTTTGTGTATGTTTACATGTTTGTTCATGTTTATGTTTTACTGTATGTGTTTTATTATGCCCTTGCTTGTGCTTTTCTGTGTTTGTTTTATGCTATTTTTTGTTTGTGTTTTTCTGTGTTTGTGTGTGTGTGTGCGTGTGTGTTTTTGTGTATGTTTACATGATTGTGTTATTATGTGCTTTTTATATGTTTTTTTTGTCTTCTGTGTTTGTGTGTATGTTTACTTGTTTTTGCATGTTTGTGTTTTATCGTGTGGGTGTTTTTTCTGTGTGTTTGCATGCATTTTTGTGTATGTTTGCATGTTTGTGTGTATTTGTGCATGTTTTATTATGTGGACATGTTTTTGTTTGTGTTGCTTGTGTATCTTTGTGCATGTTTGTGTTTTTGATGTGATTTATTATGTGGTTGCACATGTTTTTCTGTGTTTTTGTTTGTGTGCTTGTGTATGGGTTTCTTTTTTGTGTGATTATGTGTGTGTGTGTGTGTGTGTGTGTGTGCGTGTGCGTGTGTGTGTGTGCGTGTGTGTAGGTGATGCAGCATCCTGCTGAAGGAGGGCAGGTCTTGGCTCTGTGCAGTAATCAGAAGGAGTTTCTGGGGAAAGTTGCAGAGATCTGGATCTATTCCCTGTCCAGTCAGCCTATAGATCATGAGGAGGCGGCCATTCTGGGACAGAAAATCAAATGCTCAGGTTAAAAAACTTTCAGACATGCATATTGGTTTATAACAAATTAGTCTACGGCATGTTCTTGGCTGATGATCTCCAATGATGCGTCATTGTTTTGCTTATGATTCAAAAAGAGAACTTTCTAGAATTATAAACTAAAATGTATTTTGTTTGTTTACTTTTGCCCTGATCAAAAAACAATGATGGTTATACAATTTTATACCATGCTTACAGAAGTTTTACACTCACTAACATGTCATGCAGTGTAATAATAGTTTAACCAAAAAGTCTTTTGTCAGTCAGATTTACACAATACTAAATGACACAGACTCAACTTCATTATCCCATTTAGGGAAACCTAAATTGCAGCAAGGTGCCATAACACAGGTGAAGTTCCATGTTAACATACAATACATCATTTTCTAAATGCATCTCTCTCCCAGCTGGACTCATTTAATGACTTAAGGCAGGGGTGTCAAACTCAATTCCTGGAGGGCCGAAGCCCTGCACAGTTTAGTTCTAACTCTGCTCCAACACACTTACCTGTAGGTTTCAAACAAGCCTGAAGGACTCAATTAGTTTGATCAGGTGTGTTTAATTAGGGTTGGAACTAAACTGTGCAGAGCTGCGGCCCTTTTGGAACTGAGTTTGACACCTGTGACCTAAGGGCTGCTATTTTAAAATAATTTCTAGTTCTGTTTGTCCTGCCTAGAGGAACTCTAAAATGACTTCCTGATGGCAGCAGCTGAAACACAGAGTACATTGGGTCATCTGGGGTGCATAAGATACCCTGAGCTCTTTTTAAAACATTTATAATGGTAAATTAGCGTTAGACCAGTTTGGTTAAAACTGATGATCTTCCCTGCCACCTTCACAAGGCTACTCAACCTGTTCTTATTTGACAAACATTCCAAGCTACAATGTCCAAATCTTTAATAATTGTTACGCTGGGGGTAGGAGAGGCCTTCCCTTAATCTATCACCATATATTTAGTTGTATTTACATTCAACTGGAGAGAAAATCTGTCACACCAGGAAGTTAATTCATCCACAACAGCACTATGCCCCAAATCCAGATCGTGGAGGAGACTCATAATCCCCGAATCATCAGCATATTTTATGATAAGACAGTTCCTGTACATACTCCAACAATTATTAGTTTAAATGATAAACAGAAGAGGTGAAAGGCAACAACCATGAGGGGGGACCCAGTGGAATAATACTGAAAGTCAGAAAGAGCAGCATTGACTCTGACACACTGCAGATGTCCTACTAAAAAGTGCAGAATCCATCCACGAATATTAAGATCCAAGTAAAAAAAAAAAAAAAAAAGAAATTAATTGGTAACACTTTATTTTGATTGTCCTTTTGAGTATTAGTAGACTGTCTGCTTAATATCAGCTGATACTGCTCTTTCAAAAGACATTTAACTGACTATAAGAAACTTAGCATGTTCATGTCAACTTGCACTAACCATAACCTTAACCCCAACCTAACAGTCTACTTATAACCTAATGAGAATTAGTTTGCATTTAGATGCAATGTAACTTAAATTCAACAAACAGACCATCAAAATAAAATATGACCTATTAATTTCTCAACCAACAAATGTGGCTTCATACTATAGTATTAAAAGCTGAAGAGAAATAATATTATTTTCAAATTTTCTTAATTTTCAACATTACTTTGTTTGATTTCTCATTTGTCAGCAAAATGATCCTAATCATTCAAATTGTAATGCAATTTTTTATGGTAAATAATTTTATCTAGAAATCTTAAGCACAGGCCACAATAAGTGTATTTGTCCATTTGAACGAATATGCATCTGTTATCCTGAAGGACGCTGGAAGATTTGAGACGCTGGAACTTGTTTTCTAACATGATAAAAGCATCTTATCCATTCAGGATTCAGGAGTGGAAGCCCTTATAACCCTTAATGATTGAGATTTTTCTGTGTAGATAATTACTCGGAAGAAGAGTATGAAAGCTTCTCTTCAGAGCAGGAGGCCAGCGATGATGCAGCTCAAGGACAGGTGATTATAAACACACTATTTAATTCAATTCATTTTTATTTTTATTGCACTTTTACAATGTAGATTGTGTCAAAGCAGCTTATCATAGAAGTTCTAGTAAATTGAAACAGTTTTTTAGAGATGAAGTTCAGTTAGTTCAGTTCAGTGTGGTTTAAATTTCACTGCTGAAAGTCCAAACACTAAAGAGCAAATCCATCGATGTGCAGCTCCACAAGTACCAAACTAAGCAAGCCAGTGGCGAGGAACAAAACATTACCAATTGACCAAAGTAAAAGAAAAAAACCTTGAAAAGTCAGGCTCACTTGGGCATGACCATTGAGAAATCTCTACACACACACACACACACACACACACACACACACACACACACACACACACACAAAGCAGCCTCTTCTTCCTGTTCTCCTGCTGACCCATTTGTGTGTGCCCCAGGATCTGGAAGATGATGAGTACGAGATAAGGAAGCCTAAAAAGCAGAGGAGGTCAATAGTCCGGACGGCGTCCATCACCAGGGTAAGAGTGAGAATTTACTCACAGTCTTGGCTTGAGGTGAGATGATGCAGTAAACAGACTGTTAATATGAGTGTGTCTGTATGTGTGTGCTTCTCTTTCTCCATTAGCAGCAGAACTTTAAACAGCGGGTTGTGGCTTTGCTCAAACGCTTCAGAGTCTCAGATGAGGTGGGTGAATATTGCAATTGGTTTGTGGATGAATATTGGATATTATCTTTTGTGTTTTTAGACATTTTTTATTATATTAATAATTCAGTGTACCAAGATAATGAACATGTGCAATCAGGGTGTCTGCGGGGTCTTAAAAAAAGTATTAAAAGTAAATAAATCAATTATGAGAAAATTAAGACCCTTAAAATCTATTAAAATGTCTTAATTGGGTTTTTACGAGGTCTTAATTTTTGTTCAAGTGTTGTCCAAAGTGTTTGACTCCAGAAAAGCATAAATTTGTTTATTTTCCTTTTAATATTAACAACAATGTGCTTAATCCACATGATTGCTTCGGGTCAGTGCGTGTCCGGCCAAGCTCCTCCATTCAGGTGATGTCACGTAATTTACAACAAAATTTGCGTAATTTGTGATGTGATGCTCTCCATGTGTATCGAAACCATAGAGCAAACAGACGGCAAAATGGGAAAATGTAAGTTTGAGTGCTCCTGCTTGGAGAATGACGAGTTTAAACAGTGGCTGAAGCCTGACGCTGTAAACAACCGCGTAATTTAATCTTTCAAGCTTCGTATCTTCCGAGCTTATCTGAGTTCTGTTGCATGGTTGTGCTCCATAGATTTATTTAACTACAACTGTTTGTGGTGATGAGGTTTTAAAATAATCTGACAGTATCTTTAAAAAGTCTTAAAAAGGTATTGAAATTACATTTAGGATTCCTGCATATAGTCTGGCAATATTGATATCTTAAGCACTTCACAATACATTGAACTAAAGACTTTAGTTTAGAGAATGAACTTACTTTATTATTTTTTATTTTTTACCATGTAAGGCTTGAGATATCACAAATATTTTGATGTCTTTGACAATTCAAACATGAGCCGAAAACAGAGACAATCGGCTCCAAAATCCAGCAGGCGGGAATGCGGGAAAAAACAGCTCTCCTGCTTTCCTCCATTAACATTTGAATCCACTGAAACCCCTTTGTTTAACCACCCCATCTACATACTGTACTCACACTGAATGGTCATTTCAAAGTCTGAATGTTCTAAATCAACCCAAGTGACTTTATCTATCATGTTTGATATCATTTGAAATGTCTCAGTGCGACTGGTACAATGGTCTCATTCCCTCAGAAATATACAATCAAAACAATAATTATATAACTTCAGGTATCTTTTGAACCACTGCCAAGGGTGTGCCTTTCCTATAGGCAGAAACTCTTCCACTAAATGCAAATGACTTGTTTTTTTACACACCCCTTTCCTTGAGGGAATTCTTGGATTTTCCACTTAAGGGATGGTTTCTAAAATGTTCTGCGCGATTCTGCTATTCAGATCAGCCATAACATGGAGCTCTAACCATGTTATACAGCAGAAACATCCTTCATTTTCATCTTTGTAAATACATTTAATACATAATCTTACTGTATGCCTTTCAGAAGTAAATCTATATACATTGCCCTGCAGGTGTTTGACCTGTACTGCACCTCATAGTCTCTAATCCAGCTGCCATTGGCCAAATCAAGTCAGTTCTCCTCCAATCCTCCTTGCTGTTGCTCCTGATAATGGGTTTTATTTCCATATTAGTGATCCTGAATGTTAAATCGTTCTTTTTGACCAGATCTTCTAAGTGACACATCTAAGAGCACTTTTCCACAAACTGCTTTCTTTCTAACATTCCCGATACCCCCTTAGACTTGAAATAAATGAATTTTTCGAGTTCAGACGCTCTTTGCTCTCATACTACAAGCGTACCGCACCAAAGCTCAAGTGAACCGTGCTCTGGCACACCTCTTCCAACCGGGCCAGGGCCCGATTCAGAGCACTCCCACTTCTCAAATGATCTGGGAAACGGGCCTGGACACGGTTCGGATAGCATAGTGTGAGTAGGCCCTAAAACTAATAAAAACTAAACAAAAACTAAGTCATTTCAAAATATGAAAATTAATAAATCTTCCTGAAATCTAAATCTAAACAGAATTTGAAAACAAAAAGTCAAAACAAAATAAAAGCTTAAACTAATTTGAAAAATCCAAAACTATTATAATCTTGTATTGAGGTAATCAATACAGAACTGCCAGAAAGGACTCACCAGTGTGAACCACGCTTCATAAATGTTTTAATTTATTTTTTGATATGGAGTGATTATAAGAAAGTTTCTGGTGCAAAACTGGTGCAAGTGGTGATTAAAGTGTCAGAGAGATGAAAAAGCGGTTTCTACAGGTTTGTCAAGCCCACTCACCTTTGTGAGACTCTCAGGATTGTGATGTTGGCTCAGATTTGTAAAATGAACATAATCAGGGCACTTTTGCCGTTTAAATACATGTTAGTCGGGTTATGCTTGTATTTTTTTGTGTGTGCTTCTGAGCCTGAGTTTTGTTTCCTTCTCACTAGACCACTAAATCCATGTTTGTGCACAAATTAGTTTGTGTTTAACTAAGTGTATTTCAGCTTTACTGAGACCTCTCACCTTTGACATGATTTTGTAGTTGAAATATTTCACCTATTAAACCGATTTGATGATTTAGTTGTAAGAGGGTGATTTCTGCTTTAGTGTTGAGTGTGAGAGTCCTGACCCTCGCTCGGGCTCCACAGATTAATTTAGCCATGCATGATCAGCTTTAAAACGGAAACCCTATCCTTGTTAACTGATAATCTCGATGAGGAGAGATCTGCACAATGAGAGCAGGACTCAAAGAACTCTGGCTGTGATCCAAATAACTCAAGCAGTCTGTAAACTGTGAACTTTATGCAAATTTGAAATGCCGTGCTGATGGAATAACTGGATAAGCTGCTACATTTGCCAAAATGCAATGCATGCAATGTTTTTAATTTATTTTTGGTCACCTTTAACACATAATTGGAAAAAGAGTTATTAGTGAAGCAAGACTATTTTGGTACTTGAAAATAAAATAGATGATAAAACGTGTTTTACCTAATCTTGCTGTTAAGGAACTATTTGTCGTTTTCATTTAGTTTAATATAGTGCGCAAAATAGATAAAACTTAATAAAAATGAAAAACAACAACAACGGTAAATTAGAAAATATTGGACCCTAGTAAAAATATAAATATTTTTATAAAATAATACTATTAATAAAAACAAAAAAGGTTTATAAATATAACCCTGATCTAAATTAAATTGAAAACTCTCTCAATCTTGCAGTAATGCATTTCTTTACTGTATTTTATTTGACATTCTTGCATTATGTTTTAAAATCAGATTTAATGATCAAAATAAATTCTAGCAATCAAAAAGCATGTCTAATTAATGGAAATTATAAGAATTTATTCAGAGTTTAAAATGTATCAGGCAATGAATCTGATTGGCTGATAGCTGTGCGATATTCTGCAAATAACAGCACTAGTCCAGCCTCTTTACCATTCACCCTTGTGTATTACTCCGCCCACATACAGCAACAAGCAGAGGACACTACAGTTTGACAAATATGTGTTTATATTGCAACTAAGCTGTTTATTTTTAAGGATAGTGCCTATTTTAAATATTTATTATTTCTGAGAGACAGCGCATTGGCGGCCTTTACTGCCATACTGAACAGATCAAAGACAGGTGACGTTGTCCATCCACAAGATGGCGACAGAGACTGCATAATAAGCCCTTAGAAAAAAAAAAATCAGCGTAATTTCAAATTACAGCTGATAAAATCATTATTATAAGAGTAAATGACATTCTAAGTCGATCTCTCTCTCTTTGTATGTTGTAGTGCTTTATGTATACCATATAACTGTAGTGTATTGAGTGTGAGATGGGACTATGATATCAGGAATGTTTTTATTTTTTCTTGGCCACTGTTTGTATTACCTTGAGTTACTTTTTGGTTGGTCATCTGTTTGTTTCTAATGCGTCTCCTGTTTTCGTTACTGCAGACTAGTCCCATAAAAAGAAAGAAAGAAGAAATGACAGTAATTTGCTAGTATTTTGCACTACTTTGACTTTTTTGGGGATAATTATTGTGATCTCCCGATTGCAACAGAGAAATACTGGGAAGTCATCTCTGTAGACTGATGGCACTTCATGCCTTTAAACCTTATAAACTTAAATTGTCAGCAAAATCACTTGTTTTGTCTTCACTTTAGACATTACGCTAGAGAATCATTCAAATACTAGCTATAAAGTGACGTTGGTGAAGTAGCAACGCTTTCTGGTGGTCTGACGGTCAGCTACAGATATGATTGAGTACAAAAGATTTAGATTTAGATCTTTTTATATACGCGATTATGTCCTCGAACTGTTGTATAAATGTAATATTACACAAGTAGCAGTGCGATGTGGCTGTATGTCTGCCATGGTGGGACAGTAAGGCACTCGGCTGGATATTTGCATTGGTGGGACAGTAAGGCACTTGGCCCACAGACACATCGTACTGCTACTCGTGTGATATTGCTCATAAATTTTCAGAAGCTATGAAATGAATTTTAAAATCATCACTAATTCTGTTTTATTCATGTTAAAATTGAAATTATTCCCTTTATAACTTAAAGTTTTATTATTTATTTTTTACATATAGACTCAAAACATTTTTGTGCTGCTTGTTCAAACTACTTACTTATAATAAGCTGAATCAACACAATTCTTGAGTTTTTTTTGGGATAACTTAATAGTTTTTACAAATTTAAGTTGATTGAACATAAAACAATTCAGTTAACTTAATCTATGTGTGGGACCCAGCATTTTTTACAGTAATAATGAAGAACATTCTGCTGTCTCTAATTCCATTTCTATGGCAGGATTGCGCATTTCTGATTGAAAATCTCTCGGCTCAAATGTGTCATGCCTGTAGCATAGTTTAAATGCTTGAAATTGCATAATGCTTTTAGTTTTGTATACCAGTTTAAAAATAGGCAGCATTTAGAAAGTAGTAAGCTGGTATTGGGTTTCAGTATTGGAAACATGAGCAGTAAACATGAAAATGCTGAACAAGCAGAATAAACACATGGCCCCGAGTTCAGAGGTCAGTCCCGTTCTCAAGGACAGGAAGTGTGTGCGTGTGTGTATGTGTGTGTGTATGTGTGTGTGTATGTGTGTGTGTATGTGTGTGTGTGTATGTGTGTATGTGTGTGTGTGCGTGTGTGCGCGTGTGTGTGTGCGCGTGTGTGTGCGCGCGTGTGTGTGCGCGCGTGTGTGTGTGCGCGCGTGTGTGTGTGCGCGCGTGTGTGTGTGTGTGTGTGTGTGTGTGTGTTCGTGTGTGTGTGTTCGTGTGTTTGTGTGTGCGCGCGTTTGTGTGTGTGTGTTGATGTGCAGAAGCAGCAGACAGAAACATGATCTCATCAGCTTTATGTCTCAGGTTACTTCCTGTTCTGACAGGACACTGATTCTTAATATGAAACCATCTGAAAGCTGACTGAAGGATTTCACTGATATTTTGTTACAGGGAAATTATATAATGACAATTTGAACTTTCAATTTAAAGATTAGTTTGATTCTCCATAAATACTCTTCAGTTTATACTGTTTAAGAAACAATAACAACAGTAGAACGCTACATTGTTCCCAGCAGGCACACTGCTTAGGTATAGTCCAACGTTGAGCCAACATCTTAAACTGACGTCATATTGATGTCAAATACTCTTATTCAACCAAAATCCAACGTCTGATAGACGTCATAGGGGTAATGTCCACACAACTTCAAGCTGTAACATCATTAGAAGTTGATATTTGGTTGTTTTTAGGTTACATTGGAAAGTGACCATTGGTCTGACATCAACCAATACATTTTTATTAAATTATTATAAGTAATAGTAAGCTCTAGCATAAAAGAACATGTTATTCAACATTCCAGTCAATCAGTGAATCAAAAAAGGGTTAAATGAATATTGCAACTTTTCAATTAGAAATTACAAGGTCAAGGTCAAACAGCAGCAACTTGTTAATGATTTACAGCTGTCGAGTTACTTAAGTAAACACTTTATAAATTTCTTAACTTTAACTGAAGAATTTCTGAAGCCAAATTTGTTGTGAGACTGAGATTAATTAATTTTATATGCTTTTATTGAACCCATATGGTCACATTCAGTCAGTTTTATTAAATGATTGTGTTTATTAGAAGAATTTGCACTGAAAACTACATTACCCATGATGCTATTCTACCAATCATAGAATCGCTGAGCAAAGTGCTAAAAGCAGGGGTGTAATTTCCTCTGGGGAATTTATTTTTAACTGAGTACCATCATTGCCATGGATAAGTGTAATTGAGCACACAGAGAGAGTCTGGTACCACATACTCAATCAATGACTGCATGCATGCTCAAAAAATAACATGAAGTTTTCAATGAGCAGG